CTTCAAGCATATGAAACAATGAATCCCTGATTTCTAAAAGCAAAATGAAACAAAAATAAATCTATTTCATAACTTGCTTGTCAACAGTATTCCAATCTAGTCCAATTTATCAATATTTGCTTTTAATGCAATCTAAACATTTTTCAACTTGGTGTGTTATTTTACGTAACAAATGGACAAAGCAACTTTGTCCATTATTTTAAAAAATCTTCCCTTAGATATGTTACAAAAACATTATCTTTGTGTCTTTGACACTTTGGTCTTGAATACACAAGGAATTGAGTTATTTTGCCGGCTATGAGTATTTTTAGGGAGACTCAATTGTCCCAGCCGCATTTACTACAAAGTTCTTCCTTCTCCAGTGCTTGATCATGCCGTGCTGCCTGTAGTTTAGCAAGAACTAAAAAAGGCATAAGTCTACTTCCATAATTTATATTCTATTCAGTTTGTTTCTTGGTACATCGTCATATGAATTTTGTAACATTTTACTTTAATTGTTTTTGCTTTTCAAAAATACAGATTTTCATACCAATTTTGTAACAAGCTACCTTGTTAAAGTTTCATATAATTTTAATAATATGTCAGAAGATTATTTTAGATTTTCTGTATATCTGACAATTGTGTCCTTTGCGTTAATTACAGTTTGTTTCTTCTTTCTCAAATGTGCGTGTATTTATTCCTTTTGTCTAATTGTACTGGTAGAAATCTTTAGTAAAAAACTGAGAAAAAGGAAAAAGAATGATAATGATGTGTATCCTTACCTTGTTCTTTACATTAAATGGAAAGATGCTAGCATTTCACCATTCAGTAGACTATCTGCTGTGTTTTTTGTTTGTTTGGTGATTTTTTTTTGTAGGTTATCTTTAAGAAGGCTTACTGCCATATAAGTTATAAAAAGTTTTATCATGACTTGGCATTGAATTTTGTTAAATACTTTTCTAGATCTACGGAGATGGCCATATTATATGCATCCTTTAATTTGTTAGTGTGACAAATTATATTCATTGTTTGTTTTCATGTTAAGTATTTCCTGCATTCTGGGGATAAAAACAACTTAATCATAATATACTACTACTTTATTTGGCTGAATTTGACTTCCTAATATTTTCTTTTTCCTTCTTAATTTTGATTTCAGTTAATACAAAACATTTTATCTTAAAATTATTTTTTATTTAAATTACAGTTCAACTTCATCACACTCTGAGTAACTTAGAAGCACACAGTACTTAAATGACTTGGATTGTAAAGTTTATGTTTTGTGATACACATGTGGGATAATTACAAATGAGTAATACTAAGCACGGAGAAATGCAAGAGTATTTTATTTCAGTGTATATTATAAGCTGTATAATTAGGTGAAGTTGTTTCCATGACTTGAAAGGTGTCCATAAAACACATTTCTCTCCCCACAGCATCTTATCCTTTGGGCTTTCAGAGTGACTGAGATTTATTCCTCTGTATTAAGGCATCATATTTCCAGAAGTTCTCAATTAAAATAAATTATAAAGGAATGTATCCCAACCAAGTCCCTAATCTTTCCTGAATGATACAGGTTAGGATTTCTTATTTATCTATCTATTTATTTATTATTTTGTCAAGAGGCTTTAACTTGATATCTACTCTCTCAAGAAGCTTTTAATTGCACTATATAGTATGGTCAACTATAGGGCATAATGTTGTACACCAGATCTCTGGAACTTACTCATGTTGCATTATGGAAAATGTATATTCATTCAATAGCAACTTCATGTCTCCCCTTGCCCTCTGTCCCTGGCAACAAGATTCTGTTTTGTTTTTATGAATTTGACTATTTTTAGATAACTCATATAAGTAGAATCATGCAGTACTTGTTCTTCTGTGACTGGATTATTTTATTTAGCATAATGTCCTTCAGTTCATTGATGTTGTTGCATGTGTTATGTATCACATGTTATCAAGCTTAGTAGATGAAATGCCTACTATTAAAGAAGAAACGTAATAGTTCAACAATAGATTGATATTTTATATACTGTATGCTCTTGCCATGCTTTTGTATTTAAAAGAGTTTCTCATAACAAAATTTAAAAACATCTTACTGGTGATAAAATATTGTTATTCCAAAGCAAGACTGAAGATTTTGTTGTCTTTCAACACCTAAAAATATGACCTAATTTCAATATGATAACCGACTTTTATCTGACATCTTCTTTCTTTCTTTCTTTCTTTCTTTCTTTCTTTCTTTTCTTTCTTTCTTTCTTTCTCTCTCTCTTTCTTTCTTTTTCTCTTTCTCTCCTTCTCTCTTTCCTAATATGAATCTTAAATTTCAAGTAATAAAACTCTTTTCATGGCTTCTACATTTAAATTATATTTAGGGTTTTCCATATATTACTAAGTATCTATGATGATTTGTTCCTTCTTTTTATTAAAAAATGATAAAAAATAGGCCTGTTTGGTATGTCTCATGTTTGATTAATGCAACTTCTCTCTGAGCTGAGTAGCCCATAGCTGAGATCCAAGTGTTGAATAGGCTTCTCATTTCTTATCACACATCACAGCAAATCCTAAATAAAAGCATTAAAAAATAAGCTAAACTTTTCTCATGGTTTGTATATGGAAAAGCAGTGTTGTGCTATAGATATGCCTATAAACAACTATGAATTCATCATAAGACATTGTTTACTTATCATAGTTCTTGACCTTCTATATGACATTCTACACTTCATTTCCATGGTAATCTTACCCAAACTGATGAAAGCCTTGGCAGGCTCTGTCTAAAAGGGTCCTCATGTGGTAAATGTCCTAATATTCATAAATATTCATAAATAACTGACCTTGGCCAACTCTATTAATGCCTATCAAAGCTTTTACTATCTGCCCCCCATATTTACTGTTAATATTGCTCTAACTCACTTCATTTACCTGCTTTCTTCTTCTGATCAAGGTGAACCTCGTGATTGTCTATAACTTGTTCAAATTCTAAATGACTCCTCCCCTAGTTTGAGGTACATTCTGTTAGTTAACCCTGACATGTCATTTTTTATTATCACTCGTATATTTAAAAATAATCAATGTATCCTTTGCATTGTATACGCCATAAATGTTAAATATGTTTGCAGAAATTACCTCTTTTCCAATATTAATCTGCTAAAATGGTTAACCTGATAGCTTTGAAACAACCATGCCTCCTTGCTAAAAATTTAAACATTTACACCTTGAGTAAAAATTTGACTTTGGGGTAGATCATAGTTTTAGTGCATTATAAAAATATAGAAATTTACCAACTTTGTCAGACACCCTAATAATAATTGAAAAATAAATTATTAACTTGATGGTATTGTACATCCAAAGGAAATCACAGTTTTTAAAACCCTAAATAAAGATAATACTTGTAAAACTGATTTATTAATATACTGCCTTAGCTAACAACTATACAAACAGTATTCATTGTTTATTTTATCACCATTATCATCATAAAGACAGTGGTTCAATCCAGTCTCATGAATCTAGGAGATCTCTTGCCACCATGAAAGATAAATGATGTTGGCTGTAACAAAGCTGTGTCAGGATGTTTGGTGTCACCATCTACATACAAGCTGGTTCAAACATTAAAAAGTATTGATGAAAAACATTTCAAGAGCTTCAACAGGTAATTCAATCTTGCCTTCTCAGTAATTAGCATCACCCAAGAGTAAGTGTAAAGTTTGAATAATGCTCAAAACTGTTATTGTCTCCAGGGCAATTTGAATATTTACTCATGGATTTCCTTCATTTTACCAAATCCTAAAGCTTTAATATGTTTTAGGGCTTCTTACATAGTTTAGTATTGATCTAAAGTTTTCCATATCTTATTCCCTTTTACTCCTAAATTATTCCATCAAGGGATACAAGATGTTGTACAGACATATAGACCAATGGAAGAGAATAGAAAACCCAGAAATAAAGCTGCACACCTAAAACCACTGATCTTTGACAAAGTCAACAAAAATAAGCAATGGGGAAAGGACTTCCTATTCAACAAATGGTGCTGGGATAACTGGCTAGCCACATGCAGAAGAATGAAACTGGACCCCTTACTTTTACCATATATAAAAAATAACTCAAGATGGATTAAATACTTAAATGTAAAACCACACCTTTAAAAATCCTAGAAGAAAATCTAGAAAATACCCTTCTTGAATTCAGCATTGACAAAAAAATTGTTGGCAAGGTCCCCAAAAGCCATTGTAAAAAACCAAAATTGACAAATGGGATGCAATTACACTAAAGAGATTGTGCACAGCAAAAGAAACTATCAACAGAATAGACAGACAACCTAAAGAATGAGAGAAAATATTTGCAAACTATGCATCCAATAAAGGTCTAATATTCAGAATCTATAAGAAACAAACAAATCAACAAGCAAAAACAACCCCATTAAAAATGGGCAAAGGACATGAACAAACACTTTTCTAAAGAAAACATACAAGCAGCCAACAAACATGAAAAAATGCCCATCATCACTAATAATCAGATAAATGCAAATCAAAACCACAAAGAGATTCCATCTTACACCAGTCAGGATGGCCATTATTAAAAAGTCAAAACATAACAGATGCTGGCAAGGCTGCAGATAAAAGGAAACACTTATACACTGCTGGTGAAAATGTAAACTAGTTCAATCATTGCAAAAAGCGATTTGGAGGTTTCTTAAAGAACTAAAGATAGAACTACCATTCAGCTCAACAATCCCATTACAGGGTATATGCCCACAGGAAAAGAAATATTTCTACCAAAGAAACACATACATGTGTATGTTCATCACAGCACTAGTCACAATATCAAAGACATGGAATCAACCTAGGCGGCCATCAGATGTAGATTGGATAAAGAAAATGTGGTACATATATACCATGGAATACTACATAGCCATAAAAAATGAAATTATGTCCTTTGCAGCAATATGTATGCAAATGGGAGTCATTATCCTAAGCAAATTAATACTGGAACAGAAAACCAAATACCACATATTCTCATTTATAACTGGGAGCTAAACTTTGAGTACATATAGACATAAAGATGGGGAAAGTAGACACTGGGGACTACTAGAGAGCATGAGGAGGGAGGGTGTGTGGACTGCAAAATGATCTGTTGGGTACTATGCCTAGTACCTGGTGGAGGGATCATCTGTACCACAGACCTTATCATCATACAATACACCCGTGTAACAAACCTGCACATGTACAACCTGAATCTAAAACAAATGTAGAAATTATTTTTAAAATGTACACAAAACATAAATGTATAGGGCAAGGGATTATCAGTAAATGGCCATTACCCAGCTGCCTTCCTACTCCTCCCAGTCACTATCTACTCCCTTCACCCTAATGATGTCTAATATCCTGGCTTTAACATTATAGCTTAGTTATTGCCTGTGTTTGAAATTGACATAAGTGGAATCATACATCCTTTTGTGTCTGGCTTTTAATCACTCTGTGTTTGTAATATTCATCCATGTTACTGAAGGTTGAGGTTCATTCATTTTCTTTGTTATTTAGTATTCTGCTGCATGAATATACAACAGATTACTCGACTTCTGCCTGTTGACAGATATTTGGATTCTTTTCAGGTTTTAGCCATTATAAAACAATGCTGTTATCTCCTTTAACACCAGAGTTTCATTTTGCCTGTTTCAGGAAATTATATAAAATGGCACTGTGACATAAAAAGTAAATAAATAAAAATAAAAACAAAAAGTTGTCCTAACATTTTTAAAGGAAAGGCTAAATATTCTGATAATTTTGCTCTCCTATCTAGTGAGATGGTTCCTCGATTTTAGAGAACATATATTCCATTGAATATTGCCCTATTTTCAAAGCTTGAATTTAATCAGTCATCATTTTTATATTAAACTTCTTCTACAAAATATATTCAAAATTCTTGCTTCAGCAAACCACATGTTTTAAAGACAAAGCCCATACACCCTTCCCATGGGCCTCTTCCTCTGCAGTGCTCTGTGGAGGGCGCCCTTCACCTGAGCGTTCCTCAGGCTGTAGATCAGGGGGTTCAGCATTGGGTTAAAGAGACTGTGAAACAGGGACAGCATTTTCTCCTGCTCCTCTCGTTGATTAGAGTCTGGGACCATATAAACCACCATGGCTATGCCAAAGAAGAGTCCAACCACACACAGGTGGGAGGAGCAGGTAGAGAGGGCCTTTATGCGGCCCTCCTTTGTCTGGATCTTCAGGATGGCCCCGAGGATGTGCGTGTAGGAGACCAGAATCAAGGAAAGAGGCCCGACTAAGACAAACACACAGGTAGCAAATATGAAGACTTGGTTAACCCAGGTGTCAGCACAGGCCAGCTTGAGGACAGACAGAATTTCACAGAAGAGGTGGTTCACATCCCGGGGCCCACAGAAGGGCAACCTTAGAAGGAGAATTGCATGTACCAAGGACAGAGCAAACCCACATGACCAGGACGTGAGAGCCAGGATTGTGCACACTCTCCAGCTCATGATGACAGTGTACTGGAGAGGGTGACAGATGGCCACATACCTATCATAGGACATCACCACCAAAATCAGGCACTCTGTAGTAGCAAAAGTCAAATACAAAAAAGTCTGCATTATGCATGAAACAAAGGAGATGGTTCTTTTCTTGTTCATCAGATTTGCCAACATCTTGGGAACATTGTTGGAAGCATAGGACATGTCAATGACGGCCAGGTGTGAGAGGAAGAAGTACATGGGGGTGTGAAGCTTATGGTCCAGGCAGATAATCCCAAAGATGACCCCATTCCCCAGCAGGGTGAGTGTATAGAAGACAGAGAAAAGTCCACAGAGGAGAATCTCCAGGGCTGAACCAACCTGGAATCCCAGCAGGGTGATGTCTGTGATCCATGTCTGGTTGCCTTCCATGCTCTTGTGGCAGAGAAAGACAAACCCTCATCTAGGACAGAAAGGTCAGAGCTGTGGGCCAAAGATGCACAATATTTGCTGAGTGTTTCAGAGGGGGAATTAAGAAATACATTATTTTGAATGAGTTCTTTGTTGAATTTGTTTTCAAATATGTTACTGGAACCACTCAATTATGCTCATTAAATTTAAAAAATCCTCTTGTACCAATAGAGTAATAGGAAAAAATATTTAGTTAAAATGCTTATTATATATTAAAAACAGATTAACATAAGGTGTAATATAATATATCTTGTATTATTGCATACACATACATGCATGCAAACACGTGTCATTTTGGAGAATTCAGGTACTCTGCTTCTTTTATAGGGTGGAATCCTTAGTTATTAACGTAGTGAAATGAGAGATGACACTGACAAAATGCTGCAGTACAAAGTGGTTTTGTATCCTGGGCATGCTTGTATTTTTCTATCCAATATGAAGTGATTAGGGCACTCTGTTCTTCATATTCTCGCTTAGCAATCCATTTACCTTCTCACATGAATTCTACTTTCATATTTGAGATTTAAAATCTTTTGTAAACAGCTTTTCATCTTTTGTAGTTTCTTTAAAACTTCCTACAACCCTCATTTTTTCAGCCACTGGCCAAGACTCCCTGGAAGCACCTCTGGCACCTACTTTCCATCTCTAGGGTTTGTAGTTCTATTTCAAGAATTTTATTTAATTCTTCATCAGCACTTAATGCTAAAATTTAGTCATATGTGAAAGAATTAAAATGGAAGAAAATAGCTTCAAGTCTGTAAATCAAAATAGTAAATATATAATATACAAAAATAAAAGGAAATACATTAATATATAATAATATATAAAAGCAGTACAATATCCTTTTTGTTACAATTTATTGAATTTTTTTTCTTGCCAGAAATTTTTGGTTTCTATTTCTCTTATGTTTGGTAGCATTGAGATAAATATTCTTACAAACTTATGTTTGGCTTACATTAATGAATTTCAATTGAGAATGTATTCTAAAAGTGAATTTGCAGGTGCTAAATATATTGATATTTAAAAGCTTTTGATATCTATTGCCAGCTTTGCTTCAGAAAATTTACCAATATAAATTCTAGTAATTTATACCTATATAAATTCTATTAGTGTATACCAATATCATGTATCACTGATGTGTACCTCAGAATCATGCCTCTTCCCCACATGGTCATCACTACTAAGTATTTTTATTTTCAACCTTTGCTAGTTTGATAAGAGAACAATATTGTCCAGTTTCAATTTGTACTTCATCCATCCTTTAACAAATGATCCTGGAGTGCATGATCTGTAAATAAGATAATTACTGACTGTGAAAAGAACAACAAAAAATAATCTGGATAAAATAATCGAAAGTTGCTTGGTTTGAGGAAGGCTCCTTTAGATGAGATGATCAGGAAAGGTACCCCTCAAGAAGAGTCAGGTGAAAGGAACCTAAACAATGAAGGCCACAACCCTGCCCAGAGCTAAAGGAGGACCATTCTCTTCACAGGGAACAGTAAGGGAACAGTAAAGGCAAAGTCTCTAAACAAGAAGCACTTGGTGACTTCTGGGAAGAGAAAGAAAGAAACATAATGTACCTGAAGCATAGAGAGCAAAAGATTGTACTTATTCTTTGTAATCTTACTTATATTAAAAAAGAATTTTGAATAATGATTTGATAGCACAATATGGTGACTATAGTCAATAATAACATAGTTGTACATTTTGAGATAACTTAAAGAGTATAATTGTATTTGTATTATTTGTGACTCAAAGGATAAATGCTTGAGGAGATGGATACCCCATTCTCCATGATGTGCTTATTTCAGATTGCATGTTTGTATCAAAACATCTCATACACTCCATAAATATATATGCCTACTATATACCCACAAACATTTTTTAAAAATTAAAAAATTTAAAAAATTGGAATTAAAATTTTATCAGTTGGGGATAGATTATTTTCATTTGGCTGTTATTACAACACAGAATACCATGCAGCCATGAAAAAGGACAATTTTGATCTTTAGGTCATCACATGAAGTTAATGTATATGTGTATTATATGACCTGATTTATATTTTAGAATATAAACATATTTATGTCTTTTGTATCTATTCACATATATGCAGGAAAATTCTTTAAATTAAGCATGAAATTGTTTATACTGATGACCTCTACAAACTAGGAATACTCAGTGACTTATCTTTTGTATAAATTGTTTGCATACCTTTTGTTTTTTAATAAACTTTGTGCTTTACAGGAAACAAAACAGGACATTTCTTATTTGGAAAAACTTCACAATGAAATATAGAATTAAAGTTTACTGTATTTCTGCTCATCTTCTCACCAAGTTTTTTTGTTTGTTTGTTTGTTTTTGTTTTTGTTTGAGATGAAATCTTGCTCTGTCGCCCAGGCTGGAGAGCAGTGGCGCCATCTCAGCTCACTGCAACCTCCGCCTCCTGGGCTCAAGCAATTCTGCCTCAGCCTCCAGAGTGACTGGGATTACAGGCATGCGCCACCACATCCAACTCATTTTTGTATTTTTAGTAGAGACAGGGTTTCACCATATTGTCCAGGCTGGTCTTGAACTCCTGACCTCAAGTGATCTGCCCACCTTGGCCTCCCAAAGTGCTGGGATTACAGGCGTGAGCCACCACACCTGGTCTTCTCACCAAGTTTTAACAGGAATATCTAATCTTAGAAGACTTTCTTAGAGCTTCAAGTGGGAGAAATGTCACTAAATTATGAGAAAGTATTAACCCCTCACAAGTAAATAGATACTGAAAAACTTCAGTATCATTTCTCCTACGGAAGCATATATTTTTTTCCTGAGTTGTCCTGATAGAGAAACAATCAACATTGTCTATTGACTAAAAGTAGAAGTAGATCTTAAATCAGGTTGAAAATTATTGCCAAGTCTACCAAATTGTGAACGAGGGCAGAAACAAAGCCAAGTTATGAATCTGCACAGGTCAAAGAAAATGAACTTCATCATACAGAGAACTACATTTCAATGCCTTTTAATTTTCTCATCTGTAAAGTAACTTCTGGGAATTTCCAGTTAAAACTTGAAAGAAAGAAAGAAACAGGGAGCTGAAAAGACTAAATTTCTTTCCAAAGATAGTCTTCCGATGAGACATAGGAGACCTTTCAGAGGTGAAGTGGGATCACAGCTTACAGAGGGAGGGCAGCCTGAGACAGATTCCCAGGTGTGGGATGTGAGAGAGTGGCTCTCAGCTGTGCTGTGTGCATCTCTGTGTTTCTGCACCCAGTTCAGGGACCCAGGGTAGCAAGCACTTGGATGCCTCAGCAATTGCAAATGCATCATGAGCTTCCTTTTGCCAAATGGTTAGAATTTTGACTAATCAAAGTTTTATAAGTAAAATTATCTGTATTTATAGAATTTTACATGTGATTTTTTTTTTTGTATGACATTTCTGAAAGAAAGCAGTAGCCAAAATAAACGATTTCTGAAGGAATGGAATAAATAAAGGAGCAAATAGAACTGTTAGTCTAATTTCATTAGATGTGAACTGCATCCAAACCAAATGTAACATGAGATGTCAAATGTACATTTTAAGAGTTTGCTAGCAAGGGTTATAGGGTGACGACAACTCTATAACGGTGATTCTTTGCACAAACTAATGTTGTATCAGCTCATTTGTGAAGCCAAGGATGATAGAAAAGTATACTGCAAGCTGAACACATTTTTCATTATTGGCATGGTTTTGCATTTCGGATTTTATAGTTTCAGAAGTCAGATTATTTTTTTTCTGAGAAAAAGCCTGAGCAGACACAATAAAGACACAGATGCCTGAAATGAAGTTTTCTTTGAGAGTCTACTCCAGCTACGCATCAAAGAAAGATCTTCAGCGCATAGAATGAGGAAAAAGCCTTCATGGATACAGTTCTCTGTTCTTCCATAGCATGACAAAATTAGCAGTAATTAAAAAAATACGGTCTCTGAAGAAGAATGAGATAAGCATTCTTAGCAGTGCTCTTTAGACCGTCACTCTGACCTTGATTCTGAATGGTGAACATTACAAAGTTGAGTCCTTTATTCTGAACCTCACTATTTTCATCTGTAAAATGATGACAACAGATATCTAAAGGGCTGATGTGAAGAAAGAGTACCACTAGGATACCTGTTAATAGTTTAATAAAGGTTAGCTGTTATTAACAGCATTACAGAGACCACAAAATTGAGGCAAGAATCTAAATCATTGGAATTAAAAATCTGACGCAATCATTATGGTTTTGCAAACTCTTTCACATTTATTTTGCATTCATTTTTGGTTATTTCTGAATTTAAATAAAAACACATTTTGTTTTCATTGCCATTGTTTTTCTATTTTGAGTCATAAAATTAAGTTTAAAAAGAAAACTTGAAGAGATGAAAAGAATCATTTAATGTAACCTCATTCCTATATTAAAAAAGAAAATACAGGTTTTCAAAACTCAAAGTGCTATTCTGCCATGCCTATGATAGAGAGAGAGAGAGAGAGAGAGAGAGAATCTTATGGAAGAAAAGGGGACATATTTAGGATATTTAACACTAATCAAAAATAAATGTTTTTACTGATATTTTAGTCAGAATGGAAGCCATGGCTATCAAAGATGGGGTTCTGGGACAGCACAGATTTTTCAAATATTTCCAATCACTCATAAATTACTTACCATCTCAGTAGTTACTTTTGATACTCAATTTGATCCTAATGAATAGCATAATTTAGAAAAAAAACAAAACAAAAAAACAAAAAAAAACAAGCAAAGATTCTAGATAGAGCCCTATTGCCTGGGTTCGGATCCTGGCTTTGCTACACACTAAATTTATGACTTTTCTGTGCCTTGCTGTGCCTCAGTTCCCCCATCTGCAAAATGGGGTGGGTAACAAACCCTACCTTATAGGATGGTTGTGAGGATTAAATGAGTTATCTATCATAAGGCACTTAATAAGTGCATAAAAACCTTTATTGATGATTTGAAACAATCATTGGAAAGTGACTTCTGGATCCAATAATAACAAGGAAACGCGTTATATGTTTAACAGTTCCTCTGCTAAAAAAGGAAACAAAAAGGAGAATCTTTTCCCCACAGGCACTGGGTTGCCCTATGAGAGAATGGCATCTCTCTCTTGAACAACTGAGCAGTGGGTTCTAGTTAGCCAGACCATGGTTCAAGAATCAGAAGGGCAGACAGTTAGCAATGGCAGAAGGAAGATCAATCAATTTCAGGACAAGTGAACTACTTAGTAACTTCGATTTAGTGTTTTCTTTTAAGAAGAGGCACCTGGGCCATGTAGTCGCTGGAGATCTTTTTAGCACTTTAGCCAGATAATATCCTACATGGATATTATCTCTTCCTCTTCTCTGGGGGAGTCATGACAAAGCCAGGCACTGGCACATGAGGATGAGGGACCAGGAGGGTGAGAGGAACCATGGCCACCCCATGGTTGTGACGACCAGTAGTGGTCCCCAGAGCTCCTCTCAGGACCCCAGTTACAAACATAGGCTTACAGCCAGAAGGAAACTACATGAAGGAGGTGTTTTGTCAAAAATACCTTAAGCTGGTAATGTCATTCACTTCTAGTTCCCTTTTCCCATCTGCAAACTTCCTCTCAACGAATCAGTTTTACTTACAGTGGCATAATCTGTAGTCTTTTCTTTAAACATAGCCTTGAGCTTAGAAGAAACCTCAATGACAGGAGGGAAGAATAAAGAGACTGAGATTGATTCTCGTCTCTAAAGGGGCCTCCTTGGGAGGTGAAACTCAGCAACAGAGCTCTCCTGAACTTTATGATAGACTTA